GAACATAAATTTTGGTCCCCCCCCCCCCTGACTCTAGCTCTTTATTTAGAGAAACAAAAATAGATAATGGGGACTAATAGACAATTCCGATTATAGACTAATTTTTTATCTTAACAAAAAAAGTATATTCGAATTCCTGGGAAGAGCATACTAAAATTAGTAAAATTGCAAAGTTTGGTTACGAAATGTTGTAATATGAGGAAAATATAGCAATCCAAAGTTTGCAAATTTTGTATACTTTTGTATTGCAATTTTGTATCGCATGCAAACTTTGCAAGGCTATATTTTCCGTATTTTACAACATGTCGTAACCAAACTTTGCAATATAATAATTTACTTATTTTAGTATGTTCTTTCTAGCTGTGGTGATTTATTTGCATCTCTTTGCCTAGTTCTAAAATTTGTCTATAATAATGGCTATTGTCAATTTACATGAACAATAAGAGACTATTTATTTGCCTTCCATTTAAGAATATTAATATTAAAAGTCTATAAACATGCATTGTTATTTGTTGTTAAGTTGTTTTGTGATACGTTTTTAAAACTACTAATGTTTTTTCAAACTAGTAAATATTTTCAACCCCCCCCTTTTTCGTCTCTCTGTAATTTTCAAAGCCCCCCCCCTTTCAAGTTTTAAAAAATTTAAAGGCCCCCCAGTTTCTCCTCAATCCCCCCCTGTACAATAAATAATGAGCGGTCCCTAAGAGTAGAGGACCCTGACTATGCCACTCAATGGTTTAAACTATGCAAGTCATTTCAATATTAACCTCATCTTGTATTGCTACTTGAAAACTCTTTAGATTTTAGCAGATCACATGACCAGCTCATACCAGGAGTTTTCCTCCATGAGATGTAAGAACCTGGGAACGAGATTGATGTTCCCTTTTTTAAATATACATAAATGTAGGTGAGAGGGAAGAGGACCTTACACAAGTCCCTGCCTAGCCACATATCAATAAAAAAATCCTTTACCACCCTCTAAATATAAATTTTACTTTGAGAGAGCAACTAGATTAGGGTTTGTGCCAGTCTTTGTAAAATAGACCCTGTTACTCTGGCTATTATAATTATAAAAATACAGAAATATATGTTCATGTAGGCTTTGCAAATCTGGATAGTGCCCAATCAACAATTTCTTGCGTAGCTAGGACAGGCTGCATAGCAATCGAATGACATATATTTTTCGGAAGCTCTGCTGACAGTTCTACTTTTTTTCAGTTTACTATCCTTGTCATCAATCTTCCTCTGCAGGATACCAGAAGTTAGAGCTGCCCGGAAGTCATAGGTCTTCTCTTCTAGTACAGCCGTCACTCTCCAGTTTTTTGAATGCTTGCTGTACACTTTGTTATATTTCTTCTTTCCATCCCTGTTCAAAGCTGCTCGTCTGAAAAGATGGCTGTTGTGGTCAATAGCTGTGAGTAATGTTCTTGCTATAAATGAGTCATTCCTAAAACAATGTTGTTGTAGTTTAATAAGTAAATTGACATAATTGTATTGACTTTCAATTCGAAATCCATTAAGCTGCAATGACAGCAACATGCCCATATGTGCCACCATACGATTTAACACCAGACAAAGAGTGAGTGTTGCAAATACATTAGTAAATGCATTATTTACTGAAATCCAACTCGCTTTGGTGTATATTTCAAAAGCATTGAATTGAAATTTTCTAGCTTGCTGGTGTGTCTAATAAATAAATCATTACTTCACATGGCTTCACAATTTTTATATATGCCACTTTTTGCTGAGATTTTAGGTGCAATTTTCTTCTGATGGATGTGAAAGAGTGAATGAATTAATTATGAATGTTCGGATGAGGGTATATATATATATATATACTCAGAACATTGATAACTCATCTACTCATTCACATCCATCAGAAGTCAAGAAGAAAATCACAATAGAAGTCAAGTCACAAGCAACACTTGCAAGTGTAAACACCATAGGTGTGATTGAATAGTATCAGTTGAGAACAATGAGTGAGTGGAGAATATTGAAATCAGTGGGGTTTGGAAACAAAGGATTACAGTAAGACAAAGCACAGATATATTGTTATGTAAAAGTGATTTTACCCCCTTGTTTTTACCCCTAGCACTAGACAATTTTACTGCAATCCTGGACAAAAATAGTGGCAAAAACTAGTTTATTACTTCAAAATATAATTTTATCACATTTTTGCCCCAATGACCCCCCTTCCCCCAATATCAATGTTTTGCCAAGTTATCTGGCCTCGAATACACCCATCAAGATTGATATTAGGGGAAGGGGGTGAAATTCGATGAATTTTCTTATTTTGTACCCTTTTGCCAATAATTTATGTCCAGGATTGTTGTTATGGAGAGCAATGGCACAGGGCCA